AACTTATGAATTTTCAATATTTTCATAATAAACTTTAAAAGTAAAAGTGCATAGCATACAAGTTACATGTCATTGGCCTTTGGCCTCATCTTATACATGTTTAATACAATGAAACGAGTGTGCTTATGCACACTTTACATATGTGGAATCAAAGAATACAAGTTTTGTCAAAATAAATAAAAGTAAACATGATATGCTAACATGTGTATATTCAATGTCATCAAAAATGCTTCAAGACTTCTAGCATGTCTAAGAGTGTTGTGTATCCCACAACAAAGCTTCTTTACCTGCAAAACACCCAGTAACTTCGGGGTGAATAAACAAGTCTAACAAGTTTATTCGTAGGGGACGAGTATGTATCGACTCAATTTCTTTAGAGATTTTTAGGACTAACATGATATAGTTCAAAAGGGATCATGCCACCTAACGTCTATGTCAAATATTAGACTCAGGGATCATCCTAAGCTACCATGGAGTAATAGTAACAAGAATCATGATATATATACACACATGAAACAAGTCATAGTTGGGATAATCCAAGATCATAACAAGAAGGATACTAGAACATAGGTTAACATGAATTGCATTATCAAATACAATTGAGCAAGATTTAGAATGATTACATACAACACGACAAAAAAGATACTAGAATACAAGGATTTCATTTTCAATGCAATTATCATGGTTGGAGCATTCCAATTAACACGATAGGATTAATACACGAAGTTAAGAACATGGCATAATATCTATGCAATTTAACAAGGTTTGGACATTCCAATTAACAAGACAAGAATAGTACATAAAATCATGGATAATACATAGTATCTATGCAATAAAACAAGATTGGGATATTCCAATTAACAAGGTAAGAAATTATACATGAAACCAAGAATAAGGCATAACATATATGCAATTTAATAAGGATGGAATCTTCCATACAACACGAAAGGTGTCTTAAATCTTTAAGGGATACAACACTTGAAATTTAAGGAATTAAATCACGAATGAAGCATAAAATCTATACAATGAGACAAGATTGGAGCATTTCACATACACGACAAGTTCAAATCTTCAAGGAATAGCAACTTGAAATTTAAAGAGTGAAATCAACCAATGTGGAAACTCGGATATCGCCCAGATTAAAACCGTACTATTGAGATCACTTTAGGGCTACTAACCCATGGGTACCTTTCCCCTAGTGCGCACTATAGTGTAGAGGGACATTCCCCGTACTAGAACCGAGTCCTAGCCATGTCAATTCTTTATTGATATCCCAAGTCCCAAAATCAACAAGTTGTGCAAGTCAAGATTATATCAAAATACAAGAAATGCATTAACCACATATCATGCACAACCAATATTTTGGAACACACAAGTCATGCCCTAAGTTCTCAACTATGATGGCATGTGAAATGTCAAGAAATTAATGTGTGCATTTATATAGACCACAACTAAGATAAATAGCACATAGAATCCATCGAAGCAAATATACCATAAATATAAGATACATGATTCAATTGTATACTAAACAACACATGTGTGAATAAACCATTCCGAAACAATTGAGCATGTTCATTAAGCACATTAATGAAACCAAGATACAAGAAGTCTAGATACATGATATCAAGGCATGATTAACTCGAGTGAGACATAAAAAGAAATTTAATCTACTTAAGGGATTAAATTATCAAGGTTACACGGCAAGTCCAAATGTTCTACGAACAAGTTATGTCAAGGATCATGTCAAGGCCAAGTTTAATGTCAAGTTTCAAGTTCATTTCATACACGACACAACCATGTGAGTTAAGTTCCATGCAAGAGAAATGAATAAATATAAATTTCAAAACTTATCCGATTATACTCAATGTAATACACGTGAAGGAACTTATCAAGAAAATCATGAATACAAGGTTAAAAAATTAATCAAGTGCATAGAACCATTAAATGGATTTTAATTATTTCATTTAATTAAAATCTCTAGATTTTGAAAGTCATCCAAATGACCTCAATTTAATATATGTTATACAACATGTCACAACTTGATTTAAGAACATGGTACAAGTACATTTCATGCAAGGTACGGTCACGAGTATTAAACTTTAATACTAGAAAAATAATAATTGAAAGATTTCAAAACCTAATCAAATATTCTAGATTTAATATACGTGAAACTACATTGCATATACATCAAGAATTTCAAGTCAGAAATCCAACGGGATAAATAATACACTTGGAGCAAATTAATTAATCTAATAAATTAAATATTACTAGATTTCAAAACTTCTCCAATTACTCTCACTTTAATCTATATTGAAGAGCATGCTAGGGCCTAATATAATATGCTATCACATGTTGATTTAAAACTAGATATGGCCACATGATTTAATATTTTATTCAAGATAAATATTGAATAAAATCTTCATTTCTTGTCCAAATAATCTAGATTTAATATATGTGAATCTACATATCAAGGGGTAATATTCTATCATGCCACATGATTAAACAAAGTAATGGATAACCGAGAAAATTAAATCCTTCACAAGAAAAATAAATAATACAATCTCTAGATTTTACATCCAAGCATGTAATCAAGTTGTATAAACATCATAAGCATGTAATATAGCAAGAATTTAAATTATAACACCCCTTACCTCAATTTGAGATGAAAACTCCAAAATCCCCACCGAAAAAAAAGTGTTCCGAATCCGCTAAAATCGAAGGGTTTTGACGGGGACAACACGATCTACATGAATCCAAAGGAAACCCCATAAAAATCACAACTTGACTCTTAACCCAAACTCAAGAAATAGTCAGAAATGAATTCTAATAAGGGGGAATGGTAGAGCACATCGAGGGGAGCGATAAACGTAAAGGCCGAAGAGATTTCACTTAGGAAATCAAGTGAAGGAGAAGGTTAAAGGGTGGCAGCCAAAGAGCTTCCATGGCTGCCGGCCAAGAGGTGGAGAAGAAGAGTGAAAATATGATTTTTCACTTTAGGGCATCCTATTTATATTAAGTCTCAAAAAGTGCCCCGAAAGGGCCCCGCAAGGTCCGGAAAAGTGGAATTTGAGCAAACGCGCTCAAACGGAAAAATTCCATGAACAAAAAAGATTCAAAATGAGAAAATATGAATAATGGAAGAAACGGCGTCAAAAATTGAGTCCCGAGCAGAAAGTTATGCCCCGAACAAGTTTGTTGGCAACCGGATCCAGAAACTCTGAAACTGGAGAAAAACGACCAGAACGGAATTCTAAGAGTCCACGACTCGACGCAATGTGAAAATAAATCCCGTACGAGGATTCAGGCTCCAGACGAGACATTTTGCAATAACTTTCGTTAATTACACAATGGCCCCTACAAAAAAGGGTTAACTGCGAAACTGCCCCAGAATGAAAATATCTTCCAAAAGATATTTTCTTGGATGCCCCTGAAATAAAATATCTTCAAAAGATATTTACGAAAAACACCCCAAGAAATGAAAAAAATTATGAAGAATTGTGCATATATGCCCCTATGGACACCGGTAGCAACCAGAGTACTTTCTTTCAAAAGTAAAGATACGTATTTCGAGGAAACCACTCAAGATGAAGGCACGTGAAGTCAAAAACTAACTTCAAGCATGAGAAGTGAGGTTATGCCAACAATGTGACAAACAGGGAAAAGATGGAATAAGAAAAAAGACGAAACAGGGAAAAGGACGAAAGGCGCATAGTGTCAGAAAAGTGAAAATGTGAAAATGACTTGGTCCTCAAAGGAAGTTGTCAATTCACATGAAAGAGTCTCAGAAATCAATTTCGAGCACTCGAGATGACACTAAGCGACACGAAACAAAGCTCAGAAAAGAAAATTAAATGAAAAAAATTCATTCGTAAAATTTCAGAAAAAAAGGAAAGGAAGGCAAATAACCGGGTCGTTACATGACCCATGAGCTCCTAGTTTAACTTCCAACTAAAAATTGGTGCTTAAGACAAATTACAGGTTACCTCATAGTTGTTTTTAATTACACAAGTACTTAGAAATATTACCAGATTTTTTTGGTTGGGATGATGATTTATTTATTTCCTTAACTTTATTTGAGTTGATCTTATGGTGCACGGTTTTTTATATATTATTAAGATTGATATATATATATATATATATATATATAATTTTTTAGCCTTTACATCAACTTCTTAAGTTAAATATTCAATCATGGTGAGTTGGTTTAGTTATAATTTTTTTATTTTGTCTTTCCTCTAATGAAAAGGACATTTTTGAGAAAAGACATTCCTTTCCAGATTTAATGATACCCAACCAAACAATAGAATAGTAATAATCACTTCATTCTATAAAAATTCACCGTGTCACACCAAATATTAAAATGGTAATACTCATTCCATTTTATTCCAAATTTCATTCCATTCCATTCATGCACACCAAAGGTAGCATAAAAACTCAAGCCTAAAATTTATCCATTCGGTGAAAGTGTGAAAAATTTAAGCCATGCTTGGATTGCATTTCAGAGAATAGTTCTCAAGAACAATTCTCGAGAACAATTTTTAGAAAATAGTTTTCAGTTTTTTCAGATTTCAAGCCTGTTTGGTTAAGAGAATTTACAAAACAGTTTCCGAAAAACAAAAACTCATAAAACTACTTGGTTGTAAAGTTTTTTAAAATAATTTTCTGAATTAAGAAAATAAATAAAAATATTATTGTACATCACTCTTTTATTTCTTTAATTTATGATATTAACTATTAATGTAAATATATATATATATATATATATAAGTGTTGGAGGTGAATTCATTTTAGCAAGTATATTTAATAAAAGTTGCACAAATATAATATATCAAGTTTAATTAAAATTTGACTAAATTGAAATACAATAAAAGAGTTACATTAATTACTTCAAAGTGTCATATGCACTTTTAGTTGTACAAACATTAATTTTAGTCATACATAGCCAAAACAGAATATTAGAGAATTACACAAATAGGTAATCAAAGCAAAACATTGGAGAATTATAAAAATAACTTCATGAACCATTGCCTATGAATGATGCCCACATTTGATTTGTCAGATGAGTTCTAAAGGCTCCCATTTGTGTTGCACCATCGTCAGATAAATTAAGTGCATTTAATACACCAGCATTACTACTGTTACCATTCCCCCCATCAGTGACATTAACATCTTCTTCCCCATACTCCATAAAAAAACGATCATCTATTATATTTTGACGAATGAAATTGTGAATCGTGCAACAAGCAGTTATTATGAGTCGTTGTCTAACCAACTTATAGCAAGGCATAAGCTTTAAAATGGGAAAACGAGCCTTTAGTACTCCAAAACAACGTTCAATGACATTGCGAAGCGATGAATGCTGATAGTTAAGCAATTCTTTTGCACCACGCGGTTGCCGAATGTTACCCCTATAATCTTGTAGATGATATCTTTGACCACGATACGGAGGCAGAAATCCTTTTGTGCATGGGTAACCAGAATCAACTACATGGTATTTCCTTGCAAAAAATTATTTAAATTTTATTAGGGTTAGTAGCATGCTATTATTAATATTAAATTGACAAAAGTAATAGTAATACCATCAGGTGGTATCGGGAATCGTGCAACAGCTCTAGTAATTGCATCAATAAAAACTCTTGAGTCATTTGCCGTTCCCTCCCAACCCGCGTAAACGAAAGTAAATAGCATATCAAATGAGCAAACACACATAACATTTTGTGTCACTATAGACTTTTTTCCTCTATAAGGAGTTTGTTTGCTGACAGGTGCAAAAACACTTATATGTGTTCTATCAATTGCTCCAATGCAATTCTTAAACCAAGGATAGTATTTAGGATTATGAAGTATATGAGAAGGCACATCATTGCTTTGTGGTGAACGTATGAGGAATTTCCCAAGGTGACATATTGCTCTCAATACCCGCTTAAAATGTCTAGAAACTGTTTCGCCAGAATGTTGAAATCGTTCAGCTACCACTACATGACGAATATTATGTCCTATAATGAACAGAAACATTGCCACTGACTCCAAAATTGAAATTGTATGTGTGTCTTCCAACAATTTATGTTCTCTCAATATTCGACATAATTTCAGAAAGACTTCTCTATCCATTCGTAATAAATCAAAACATCGACTGGCATGGTCATTCAACAATTCCTGAACATACTCATGACTTGTTAACCCTGAAGTTCTCTTTGGTACCTTGGATTTAAATGAATCTTCATTCTCCTGCATCAAATTCAAATACATGCAATCTACAAGGTCATCAAAATCTTCATCAGAATCACTAAACAATGAAGACGATGTGTCACTCCAATCTATGTCCATCTTGATTTTCCAAAAACCTAGACAAAACAAAGTTGATGTGCTATAATTAAACTAAAAAATGGAAGAATAGTTTTTTTTTAACTCCCAAAATATAAAATTGTTTTTTGTAAACCCTTTTTCAGCAATGAAAGGAGTCAATATAACTTAGAAGCTAATGACACCCTCTTGAGTATATCTTTATTCAGTTAAAATATAAGTGATAGAGTAGAATCTTTAAATAAAATAATCTGTTAGTAACTTAGTATTATATGATTCACGGTCCTTTCACAAAGTAACAGAAATTGCAATGTCAAAGAAGAAAACCTTTTGTGTTATAGCTCTCCGCAGCCAGAATGAGCATTTATCGCAGCCAGAATGAGCATTTAGGTTTTTTCTTTTTTTTTTTTTTTCTTTTTTTTTTTTTTTTTAAATAAGTATTAGGTCTGTTTTAAGTATGGACATTGAAGTAAAGCAATCCACTGCCTGTTCTTGGTGGAGGACAATTACGAAATAATCTTGTGTCCTTATTTGGTTGAGGATTAATATTAAAGGATTGGATTCACGTGAGATGAATGAGGTTTGCAGCACAAAGACCTTCTTACTGCAGGTTCAATGAGTCCAATGACAGGGACCTCTGAGAATTCCAAGTCTTTACTTGGATAAAAAAAAAAAAAACTTATGCTGCCTCAACCCATAGTTTAGATGCCGGTTTTTAGCCCCTTGTTTGTGTTATTATGATAATTCCATCCCTTCAATTGGAAGAACATTCACATTCAGGGCAACATACTCTTAATTGTACTTTGTCTTTATTTATTTATTTATCATTCTCCAGGTGTATTTTTTATTTTTATTTTTATTTTTATTTTTTTTATTTATTTATTTTTTTTTTATTTGGCAGATTCAACATTAGTCTACCAAAGGTAACATGTCTGTTCTTTTTGGTGAAACATTAATAAAATATTTTGTGGGGTTCTATTTCTTTGCTCTGATGCAGCATAACAACTGAAGTAACAGAGAGGATCTAACAAGTACTCAAAATCCTAAGAAAATCTAACAAGCACTCAAAATCATCATCAAAAAATAAAAAGAGACTATACCCAGATCAGATGATAGAAATTAATTTCTAAAGATATTAAAACTGTGTGGAAATCACAAAGAACAAATTTAAATTCTATGGAATATCCAACTCAAATTGTTCATGCTTTTCACATTTGTAAACATGCACATTCATATAAATATACATAAACAGGTCACAAATTTAGATGTGATCGTGTGAGCATCAAAAGCTTAAAAAGGAAACAGAAGTTATACCGGAGGAAGCAAACGATCTCCTCGATCTGCAATCCAAGTTGATGTGATTTGGGAGCTTAATCGACCCAGTGCGTCCGGAAATGAAAGAGCATTGCCGGAAAGTCCTGATTTCTCTGCAACTCCGGCAGATTTGAAGGCGACGGCGGCCGATCCTGCAACTGAAGCAGCCATGAGATTCCCAGCAGGGATTGAAGAGAGAGAGAAAACGATTGTGAGAGAAATCGAAAAAAATTCTAACAATTGATAAGATCATAAACGATTATGAGAAAAATCGCAGATCTTGTATGGATTAAAGAAATTTGAGGGTTAGAAAGTTCTACCTGAACAGAGAGACGATTGTGAGGAAAGAAGTGCAGATCTGGCTTGAAGAAATCTGAGAGATGGCTCTTAAAAGAGGAGGAGAATCTAGAAAAAGATGACCAAAATATGAGGGTTGGAAATCTGATGTGAGAAAATTGTTGTTATTGTTAAAGAAAGAGAGAGCTGTAGAGGTTGCGCAGAGATATATGTGGACGGTATTATAAACGAGCGAGAGTTTTACACATTACACAGTTTTGTCCGTACTTTTAAGTAGCCCGTTCAGTTCTCCGTGTTTTCAATTTTGCATCTCAGTGTTCCCAAAACTCTGAAAACAACAAATTGTTGTTCTCTGAAAACCTCAACTTTGTTATCTCAGGTTTTCATAAAACAGATCCAAGCAGACCTTTTTTGCAGTTTTCAAAATTTTGATACTATAAAAATAGAAAACAGTTTTCATAAATCCATTCCAAGCAGGGCCTTAGTCCCTCGGCCCTTACACACTTTGGGCAGAAAACCGAACCCGTTCTAGGCCCAAATTTAACATCCACCGACAAAGGTTGTATAATTTACGCGATATATTAGGGGATTGAATGGAGCAAGGAATAAATACGCAGCGAGCGAGGGGGCAAATCTAATCTAAGACGCAACGCACAGAGATGGAGATGGAGATGGAGACGGAGAGGAGGGAGAGGGAGAGGGAGAGGCAGAGGTTAGCGAATATGGGTACGCAACGCACAGAGAAGGAGATGGAGAGGGAGAGGGAGAGGGAGAGGGAGAGGTTAGCAAATATGGGGACGCAACGCACAGAGATGGAGATGGAGATCGAGAGGAGGGAGAGGGAGATGGAGAGGAGGGAGAGGGAGGTTTTGTTAGCGACTATTGGGACGAAACGCAGACAGAAGATTACCCATCGACCTAATGAAAGGATTGGTCCCAATCAGTGCCTAATGATAACCGAACTTCCGATGAGTCTCATGTGCGACTCTTGTGGCAACCGCATGCCCAAATGCTCAAAGATTGCCGTCATACAAGATGCCTCAATCATAGTACGTTATTAGAAACAAAATTCATTAGATCATTTTATCTTATCATCGTCTCCCCATCTCTCTCGATATATATATATTCTTTAATTTGTGTTTTGTATATTATAGGGACAGGAACGAGTAGGTTGTTCATCTTGGACCAAGATGCACTATGATTGCACCAATCCAAATTGCATAGCTGAGATCACGGTAAAGCGTAAGGGCTACGAAATCGTTGTTGTGTCTGGTGCAACTTCCTATTTCCGGCCAGAGGATGAGGTATAAACACCATTAATTTACTTTAATTTTCATATATATATATCATCTCATCATAGCATCCCTTGCTTGCTTGCATATACATGTTTACCATAAACACTATATAGATTCCATGATAGAAAAGGAACGAGTATGTAGTTGTGCCATATCAATGGCTAATACTTAATTGTCAAATGTGTTTCTTATCCTTGCATCGGGGAGTCCAATAGGAAATAGAAGGAATTATTCGCTCAATTGTCCGTTATTATTTTTTGTTATTGAAAAAAAAAAAGAAGGAAAAAAAGTACAAGAAAAGAAGAGAAAGCAAACTTTCCAATCTTGTCAAAACAGAAATTCCCATGTATAACCTGATTAATCTCAGAACAATGAATGTTTCACCTAATGAACAAAGTGATGCTTTATTTTTTAACCTTTTTTAAACTGCTCATTCGACTTTTTCATTAAATTGCAGAAGGGTTAGCATACCTACTAATCTCGATGCAACAATGTTCTTGAAATTCTGGCTGATTAGCATCCTGAAAAATCTATAATTTCAAATGTTATATAAGCTATATGGCTAATGAACAGAATGAATGATGAGTTTCTTTTATTCCTCTATTTTTCACTAAATCAAAGTATTTAATATTTTGCTCATTTATTATATTTATTTTTAATTTTTCCGTACAGCATAAAAGTCTTTATATGCCTAAGTTAGTGTTGAATCAAAATTTGGTTTGATTTAGGCTTCGATTCAAATGGTTCAAATTAATCATGCAGGATATCGACCTTTTTTAATTGAAGCAAACTAAATCATGCAACTCTAGCGGGCTGGTCAATACTTGTTTCAGTTGACCCATGTAGTTGATCCAAGATTTCTTAAACTTGCTCTTTTCTTTTCTTTTCTTTTCTTTATTTTTTCTTTCTTGTGAAAGAACTCTTGACAAAAGAATTAAACCCCGTGAATTGAAGTAGTGCTACTAATGGATGTTCTACCACAAGTCCGCTCCATTTCTTTTATTTTACGGCTCTTTATCTAATACAACAACCCTATGGTAGTTTTTAAAAGCTTTTAGAGTTCGAAATAAATTATAACTATATTTGATTTCTTCTCTCAATCTTAAGAGAGAAATGAGAAACATTTTCCAGTTATTTCTTTTTACAAGGGGATTCCTTCAAAGAAGTGGTTGGGCCTTTGAGGCTAGTATTTGACTTGTAGAGTTATTGTGTTGACTTCAAATCTATTTGCATTTTCATGTTTTCTTATATTTAGTAGCCTGAGGTTATTCTCTTTATTTTTAATTTTTTTGGGTGTTGGCTTTACTGGGCAGTGCATAGATCTAATTATTTTCATTTGATTAGGTCACTATATGGTGCATTTAGATTAGTCTTGATGGTCAAAATTTGTTTTATGGAATCTTTGTCCTAGTAGAAATAGTAGCACTACAACAGGTCATGTCTATGTTTTTTTGATTTCTCTTCTTTAGTTGAATTAAAGTTGAGAGAATGATGCTCTGCTAATTTCTGTTTTTGACTTTAAGGGTTGAGTGTAAAGGAATTCTTTGTGAGATTCCTAGTTTCATCTTCTTCTTTCCCTTTCAACTTTAATTTAATACTTGAAACAATGATATATTAGCTGATCTTTCAAAAAAGAAAAGAAAAGAAAAGAAGTATATGCTGTTTAATATTTCTGGCAACTATTTATTTTAGTCCCAGCCATTAAACTTTCTATACCAAGCAATTTGTAGCCCCTTTTGATTAACAAGCCATACAACTTTTGTTTCTACCTTTTTCTTTCCTTAACCTGAGCGGCTAGGCCTATGATTAATTGAGTCTTAGGCTACACTATTCAGAGTGTATAGTTCTGTTCTATGTCATCATTGTTTCTTGTTTTGTATCGGTCAGTCTGCAGCCAATTTTAGCATCAAGTCTTTTTACCCCCCCCCCCCCCCCCCCCTTTTTTGAAGTTCCTTTTTCTTTAGAATTTAACTAAAATTTTAATTATTTTGGATGCAGAAATTGGAATATTTTCCGAAGACGATATCCTATCGCAGCTCTCGAGGTATCTATCACTGAGATTTCTTTAATTTCAATTCAACACTGATAAAGAAGTTCTCTTTATCTAATATATATATAGTTTTTGTGGAACTATTTTACTCCAAGATATCTACCATTGTTTGTAGTTTACCGCTGTCTCTAAAGCATTATTATTTTGATTTTGGAATTCTATTATATTTTTTAGAGTTCAATTTGATATATCATGCTTTCCTATTTTCTTCGTGATTATGAATTTACTCTCAGCTTCAGATGGGCAGGTATTGTGAGATTTGTCATTGAACACATCTGCTCAACGATTCTTGTCTCTTGACCTTTTGTTTTTACGACATTGTCCACCCAGCTTAGGGGAATGTTTATCGATACAAAATGGACGGTGGAAGGTCTTCTAGTTTATTTGATGGGGGGTACTATTATGTTTAGTTGATTTATGATCTGCTAAGCATGGTGCTGGGATATTGTTGGATTGTTTGGTGGCTTAATAAAATCTGATATAAAAAAAAAATCCCGAATCTCAAATCTTATGAATCACTCACACTTTAGGACTAGAACCGTGGAACCAAACCAATTGCTCATGGATTGGTTTGGTTCCAGTTTTTGTGGAACTGTTAATACTTCCAAACTGCCCGGAAGTGAACCTTTTGCACCCCTACTTCTACAAAGTCTGTTGATATCTTTTCTCTTCTATGCAACAAGCGTACACAAGGAACAACAATTCTTTTGTCAATTTGTGGTGGAGTGAATAATGTCAAGTATGAGCAACAAAACTGTTTGCGTTATTCGCTTGGCATAATAAACAATTTAGTAAGAAATTAACTTATGCTCTCCTCTGTTTCTTCAGTTCCTGGTCTTTAATTTAAACAATTGCATGTGCTAGTTTGTTTTTATTTTTATTTTTATTTTATTTTAACAACTGTATTTATTGATTTACTGGGCTTGCTCAAGACGAACAAGATCTGAAGACCTTTGGTGGAGCTTTTTTTCTGCAATTAACACTTGATTTATTTCACTTGTGCATAACCATTGTGTGCGGCAGCAGTTGGATCTTAGTGTTTGGTTGGTGTCATCATGAAAGGAACCCTCTGTGTTAACTACCTGTTATTCTAGAGCTATATTGGGTTATTTAGTAGATTGTCCAAACAAATTGCAAGGGGTGGGTAGGAGTGGCTTAAATGCAAATGGGAAAAATGGGTTTTGGAAATGGTTTGTTTTGGTAAAAGTGTTTCACTTTATGTGCATGTGAATACATGAGCTTTTTCGCTGTTAGATTCAGAACAACCGTCTGTCAGAGGGGGCACTCTTGCAACAATCATGTAGCTTAGGGTGTTTTATGCGATTTGCCTTTTTTTTTTTTAACAACCGTATTTATTGATTTACTGGGCTTGCTCAAGATAAGAACAATATCTGAAGACCTTTAGTGGAGCTTTATTTCTACAATTGAAACTTGATTTATTTCACTTGTGCGTAGGGCATATGGAACAAAACCATTGTATGCGGCAGCAGTTGGATCTTATTGTTTGGTTGGTCATCGTGAAAGGAACCCTATGTGTTAACTACCTGTTATTCTAGAGCTGTATTGGGTTATTTAGGTAGATTGTCCAAACAAATTGCAAAGGGTGGGTAGAAGTGGCTTAAATGCAAATGGGAAAAATGGGTTTTGGAAATGGTATGTTTTGGTAAAAGTGTTTCACTTTATGTGCGTGTGAATACATGAGCTTTTTAGCTGTTAGATTCAGATTGCCCATCCCGACAGGGGCACTCTTGCAACAATCATGTAGCTTAGGGTGTTTTATGCGATTTGCCTTTTTTTTTTTTTCGTTGTCTTCGCCACCACCAATGTCACACAGGCTTCAAAATGGGTGAAGTACCTGTGGCAGATCCACAATACTCGGCTATGGTTATGAAAATGTGTCCCCACACTTTTGGTTGGTTAAGCACCTCAAAGTATCTCCAATGATTCAATTTTATTATATTATAGCTTTACAGCAATTGAAATATGTCTATATGAAAATTATCTAGTAGTTTCCACGTGGATGCTTGAAAATTTGATATATCCATACATACTCACACCTGGCAAACGTTCTTGAACTGGTTAACATAACTTGTCGGATGATGTTCCAATTCCTATTCAGTGGTTTGGTATTGTTGTCATCTTTCGGAAAATGAGATACTATGGCCATTAAGAAGGTTAAGGAGATGTTCAGTTTTTTTTAGGTTATTTATCTCATTTGCTTGTATATTGACAAAAACAATTGTGTTTGTTCATGACAGGGAATCCTGCTTTTCGTAGCAGCCAGTGTAACGACCCACTCCACCACATAATATGATATTGTCCGCTTTGGGCCTGAGCCCGCACGGTTTTGTTCTTGGGCTTCACCCCAAAAGGCCTCATACCAATTGGAGGTGACACATTTATATATAAGCACTTCACCTTTCCTCTACCCAGGCGATGTGGGATTGTGCACCTGTAGCTCGCCAGTGTAGTAGCCTGACAGTGTCTCTCGCACCCGCCCACGGCACACCCGCCCACAAGGTCATCACAATCCACCCCGCTTGGAGGCCCGACGTCCCCGTCACCACATTTTCGGCTGGGTCAGGCTCTGATACCATTTGTAATGACCCACTCCACCACATGATATGATATTGTCCGCTTTTGGCCTGAGCCCGCACGATTTTGCTCTTGCGCTTCACCCCAAAAGGCCTCATACCAATTGGAGATGACACACTTACATATAAGCACTTCACCTTTCCTCTACCCAGGCGATGTGGGACTGTGCACCCGTAACTCGCTAGTGTGGTAGCCTGACAATGTCTCTCGCACCCGCCCACGGCACACCTGCCCACAAGGTCATCACAATCCACCCCCCTTGGAGGCCCGACAGCACACTTCCGGCTGGGTCAGGCTCTGATACCATTTGTAACGACCCACTCTACCACATGGTATGATATTGTCCGCTTTGGGCCTGAGCCCGCACGGTTTTGCTCTTGGGTTTTACCCCAAAAGGCCTCATACCAATTAGAGATGACACACTTACATATTAGCACTTCACCTTTCCTCTACTCAGGCGATGTGGGAGTGTGCACCCATAGCTCGCCAGTGTGGTAGCCTGACAGTGTCCTCGCACCCGCCCACGGCACACCCGCCCACAAGGTCATCACAATCCACCCCCCTTGGAGGCCCGACGTCCCCATCGGCACACTTCCGGCTGGGTCAGGCTTTGATACCATTTGTAACGACCCACTCCACCACATGGTATGATATTATCCGCTTTGGGCCTGAGTCCGCACGGTTTTATTCTTGGGCTTCACCCCAAAAGGCTTCATACGAATTGGAGGTGACACACTTATATATAAGCACTTCACCTTTCCTCTACCCAGGTGATGTAGGATTGTGCACCTGTAGCTCGCCAGTGTGGTAGCCTGACAGTGTGTCTCGCACCCGCGCACGGCACACCCGTCCACAAGGTCATCACAATGCTCATGTGGCTTAAGCTGCCTAGAGGCATACGCTACCACCTTATCATCTTGCATTAATACACAGCCAAGACCCTGATGTGATGCATCTGTGTAGATCAAAAATCTCTCACCACTAGCAGGAATGGTAAGAACTGGTGCTGATGTCAATCTCGTCTTCAGCTCCTCAAACGCCTGCTCACAGCGGTGGTCCCAAACAAACTTCACATCCTTCCGAGTCAACCGGGTTAAAGGTGCAGCAATCTTGGAGAAACCCTCAATAAAGCGCCTGTAGTATCCTGCCAGTCCTAAGAAGCTACGAATCTCAGTGACAGTAGTAGGCCGTTTCCAACTCATTACAGCCTCCACCTTGGCAGAATCTACTGAAACTCCATCCTTAGAGATCACATGCCCCAAAAACTGAATCTGCTCCTGCCAAAAGTCACACTTCTTAAACTTAGCATAGAGCTGATGCTCACGCAAAGTCTGAAGTGTAATGCTTAAGTGTCTCTCATGCTCCTCTTTAGTCTTGGAATATATCAAGATGTCATCAACAAATACTACAACAAACTGATCCAAGTAAGGTCGAAACACTTGGTTTATCAAATCCATAAAAGCTGCCGGAGCGTTAGTCAACCCAAAAGGCATGACTAAAAACTCATAGTGGCCATAACGAGTCCTGAAGGCAGTCTAAGGAATATCCTCCTCCTTAATCCTTAGTTGATGGTATCCAGTCCTTAAGTCAATCTTAGAAAACAACTGCGCCCCTCTAAGTTGATCAAACAAATCATTAATGTGTGGCAATGGGTACTTATTCTTAATAGTGACCTTATTCAGCGCACGGTAGTCAACACATAAGCGGAGTGACCCATCTTTCTTCTTGACAAATAAAACAGATGCTCCCCAAGGTGATGTGCTAGGTCGAATAAACCCCTGATCTTGCAACTCTTGAGTCTGCTTCTTCAACTCACTCAATTCAACTGGCGCCATTCTGTAGGGTGCCCTAGAGATAGGTGAAATACCAGGAGTGAGGTCGATGCAGAAATCCACTGCCCTCCTAGGAGGCAAACCCGGAATATCCCGAAACACATCTACATACTCTGACACTGTAGGCAACTGCTCTATAGTCACGCATTGCTCAACCACCTCGATGTGGGCCAGAAATCCCATAGTCATGGTGCCCTCAAACTCCCCACACTTATATCGAGAAGGTAACTGTCCCGGAACTGAGAATAAAATAATCCTCTCATGGCAGTCCAACTGAGCATGATATCTAGCCAACCAATCCATACCCAGTATAGCATCAAATTCTCTCATACGTAATACTATTAAATCAATAGGATACTCCAACTCCCCAATTATAACAGGGCAAGCACGGCATATTCTATCAAGTGTCGTCGCACTCCCGAGTGGAGTTGTAATAGATAAGGCATTACTTATATGTCCAGGTTCTAATCCCAGTGTATCCACAAATGATAGTGCAATAAAATAATATGAAGAACCTGAATCAAATAGTACTCTAACTATACTGCCATAAATAGTAAGTGTACCTTCCACTGCTGGTGGTGCACGATCCTGTCTCCCATCTGGAACAACTGCATAAACCCTTGCACCTCCCTGTTGCTGTGGTGCCTGACCTTTCTGCTGGTTATTCTTGTGAGGCTTAGGACAATTACGAGCCAAATGTCTTTGCTCACGACAATTGTAGCAATGCCCGCTGAACTGATATGGCTGTGCATCATGAGGTGTGGCTGGTACTAAAGTTGTGGATTGCTCACCTTCACCAACTCTCTGCCGTTTCCCTGCTCGCCAATCTTGTCTACCTCTCTGCCAAGACTGACCCTGCCAGTTTCTCTGAGTCTGCGAGGACATTATTTTTTTAAAAAATATATATATAATATTAGCACGATACAGCGTGATAGGACGTAGATCCAGAGAGAGTGATCTGACGTCGTGTCTTTCTGCAGTAGCTGAGGGAAGGAACGATAAGTGGGAATTCGCGTAGGAAGGAAGAGTTAATTACCCAGGCAAGTTAATCTTGCATTGTAGTTCTATATATATTCGTAACTTCTTAAAAAAGATGTATATTTTAACATATTTTAATATCTTGTTGCAAGTCACTGTGATGATGATTAAGAATACATTATAAATTGGTTGCATAAATATTGTATTTAATCAAGTAACCTTAAGAGTCTTTACCTTTCTTACAAATAATGTTATTGGTTGAATATGAAATTTAGATTATTTCATTGTTATAATTTATAGTAATAATAACGATTTATATATTAATGTACTCATATTTACGTGTTTGAGAATGACTATGCATGTATGTAATTTGTAGAGTTACTTTGGTTACAATTAAGATACATGAACCTTTAAGTATATTTGTATTTGTGTATATAAAATTTCATATAATCTTAACTTTAAGTTTTGATTAAGGGCAAATCTGATCTACTGTAATTATATATAGTGCGTGCGTTTATGTGTGGACTATTTGAAGTAATGTAATCTTCATGAGGTAGATATATATTTATAAGAATGAAATTCCTGTAGAGTTTCACTCAAAGAGGTATTCATGTGTGTATGTTGTTATATGGCAGTGGATTAGTACTAGAACTGGGTCTTGGAAATCATTACTTTGGGATTAAAAATCATGGTGTTTAGACTAGTTTCATGAATTAATTCACGTGTATGTTAATAAATTAAATTAATTCACATGCGTGTGTAAATAAATTAAGCAATAAATAACCCATGAATGTGGGTATGACCTGTTTTTAACAAGGTGGATTTGTACTTGGTTGTGCATGGTTGGGAACACAATTTAGAGGTTATTGGCTGAGGTTCTGGAAAAAATAACTTCAAACTGGTGGAAGACCCATTTTAGGTGTTAAATTTTATTGCATAGAACTATTTTGGGTAGAAGACTCATTTGTTTTGGGTTCTATGATTCAACTACTCTCGGCAACACTGAGTGAGGAATAGTGTGTTGTTGTATTGCGTTGAAATAATATACTTAACTATTATTATTATTTTTTATAGTTTTACATTAGAAAATTAAGGAAAAATATTTAAATATTTCAAAATTTGTGTTAGATACCAGAATATTATATTTTTGTATAATGAATCTGGTTTTGTTAAAAATCCAGATTTTTAATGTTATTTGGGTAAGTTTACCAAATAAAACCTTAAAAAAAAAATTATTTCTCAACATTAAAAGGGAGAGTATGGAAAAACTATTAAGAGATAAATTCTGAAATTTTGCAGGGTATTATATCTAATGTTAGGCTATGTCCAGAAATTTTCTACTCTCACTAGTTGGATCATTAGGGTTCTGTTTTTAAATTAAAATGATATTTGGGTGCATTAACTATTAATTTAAATTATTAATTAATGATATCTTTCATAATTCATCATAATTAATAATTAATGGATGAATTTGGATTAGTCGGAGGGGTAATCAGGGACTGACCCTATGATGACTTTTGGGTATGGTCAGGGACCTGCCTATTGGGAGTGCACTACCCTTTTATTATGACCATGGGTCTAATGAGCCCTTATTGTGTGGACGTGATCAGGGATCATCTGGGGAGTAGACGTACAATCCAGCCACACGTGTGTTTTCGGTAGTCAGGGACTATACGAATCACACCACTTTATTGGATGGGAGCCCGGGGCTCAGATGAGATATGCAAATTTACTTAAAATAAACGATGGTTATTTATTGAGTTTATAATTAACTAGAATATACCTTTAATTAATGAATTTATTGAGTTGCTTATATATATGGGAATACAAGGTAAGGTTAGCTTGCTGAACGATGATTGTGTTTAGCATTTCTTGTTGAGCTTGTGAGCTCACCCCATTATCACATTTCAGGTGCTCGTAGAGTAGGAACGTGATGGTGACACGTGACGGGAACGGATTTTAGCTCGTTGCGCATTGATTTATTTTAGCTTGGTTTTCCTTTATTCTGATTATTGTAATAAAGTTAATGTTTTATGAAACTTTATTGAGTTGATTCAGTGGTCATAGATGTTTTGTTTTACTAGAGGGTATTGCACCTCTATTTATGGATTTGTGTAAAATTTGTCAGACTCTCATGTTTGTTAAATTGAATGACGGGATTCATCGTAGTTTTATTATGGAGGATGTTTGTTGAGAATTGATGAAAGTTGTACCTTAGATTTTTTTTTACGCAGGACAAGTAGTTCTTGTATTAAAATTTGGGGTGTGACAGTTTGGTATCAGAGCCTAGGTTAAGAATTACCTGGCTAAGAGAAGTGATAGTAAGAATAGGAGCATATACTTGTACGAATTATTGTTCTCTTACCATGCTCCAGTTTAAGTATAAATTACTTGTGAGACTTATCATTGACATTCTTTACTAAAAATAGGATGTCAGGAGCTGGAAGAGGCAGAGGACGACTTGCTAGAGGCAGAGGTCAGGGAGGTGTTGGTCGTGGTGGTGTTAACCATGACGATGTTCAGTTGGAGGATGCACCTCATGTGCCGAATCCTATGATTGGATTTATCAGAGATATCCGCAAACTGGGGGCTGTTGAATTTGTTAGAGCTACCGATCCACTTGATTTTGAGAAGTGGATTAAAGATATGGAAAAGTATTTTGAGATGATGGACTGCACTGAGGTGTAGAAAAGGAAGATTGGTGCATTTCTTTTATCTGGTGAGGCCTTTTGGGGTGAAGCCCAAGAGCAAAACCGTGCAGGCTCAGGTCCAAAGCGGACAATATCATACCATGTGGTGAAGTGGGCTGTTACAAATGGTATCAGAGCCTGACCCAGCCGGAAGTGTGCCGACGGGGATGTCGGGCCTCCAAGGAGGGTGGATTGTGATGACCTTGTGGGCGGGTGTGCCGTGGGCGGGTGCGAGAGACACTGTCAGGCTACCACACTGGCGAGCTATGGGTGCACAGTCCCACACCACCTGAGTAGAGGAAAGGTAAAGTGCTTATATGTAAGTGTGTCATCTCCAATTGGTGTGAGGCCTTTTGGGGTAAAACCCAAGAGCAAAACCGTGCGGGCTCAGGCCCAAAGCGAACATTATCATACCATGTGGTGGAGTGGGTCGTTACAGCCAAGCCTTCTGCAACTAAGGAGTTACAGTGTTTGGTTGGTTATGTCAAGTTGTAGCTAGTAGCAACAACATTCTCGCTACAGATGGCAAGCCACAAGGGTAAAATTTTAGTTGGTTGGATTACAGTTTTCTAATAACTTATGGATTGTAAAAGCAAAAAAAACTTGTGATATTTTAATTCAGCACTTGCATTGTGCTTCATAGAATTTTATTGTAGAATTTGCCCGTTAGAGCGTGTTTAGTAAGGGGCTTGTTTCTCTACATGGTTGGATCAATAGTACCATTTGATATTATTTATAAGTGCATTTGTTTTGCTCAAAATTACTTTTTCAATGAGATATTTAAGATGCATGGGTCAGTCAAAACACATTAGAACGACGACTCTTTCTAGTAGATGTTGATTTGTTCATCTAAGAAGTTAGGGCTAGTTTGGTGCGGTGGAATAGAATAAAAGAAAGTGGAATGAAAGGATCAAAATCATCCTTTAAAGTTGGAATCATCATTTCCTACCATTTTTAGAGAGTGGTTCCATCAAAATCATTCAACCTTCGGACAAAAGGAATGATTATTTCATTCTTACCTAAAAACTACAGATTAAAAAAAATGTTAAAAAATAAAGTTGAATTTGTGTCCTTTAACAAATCACAAACCCACACGGCAGTGTTTCCGGCGGACAACTGGGTTTTATTAAAAATTAATATTTTATATAATTAATTCAATATAAAGGGTGGTGATGCTCTTAACTTTGTATGGTCGGCAAGGGCGACATTCATTCTGACAATGGCGACGAAGTTACAGAGCTATGCTAGATTCTTGTGGAGAGCTCCAGCGAATCCACGACCGTTCTGAACTGGGTTTATTCTTGTAGAGAGCTCCAGCGAGTCCACGACCATTGTGAAGTGGGTCTTATCGAGGACGCACGCTTTTGGTTTGTTATTTGGCCTCTTGCAGGTCATTGGAGTTGTCCATTCTGTCGGTGTCGGTGATGATCTGGCAGAACATAAGCGTCTATTTCTCTACTATTTATCGGAATGAATAGTGGTGATGGTCGTGGTTGTGGCGGTGGGAATGTTGGTAGTTATGGAGACGATGTGTCTCTCTATTGATCTCGTCTATTTTCTCTCTATATTATCTCTTCTCCGTTTTGTTTTTGCAGATGTTAATTTTTTTAGTTAATTTTTTTTTTTTACTAATAATAAAATGTAATTTAGAGAAACACAATATAAATTCATTACATTCCAACTTATATATTAGTCCAACCAAACATAGGGATGGCAAAATCCCCATACCCGGCGGGTCCCCACCCCACCCCGCTCCTGTTATGACGGGTTTGGGGATCCATTTATGTAAATGGGAAGGGGATGGGGATTGTATTTGAAAACCCGGCTGGGGATGGGACGGGGCGGGGTGGGGCCGGGGGAGGGTAACTCCGCCCCTCCCCGCCCCATTTATAGTGCATTTTTACAAAACTACCCTTACATGTTACAAAATATTATTAAATTACATAACTATACATGTAATATATTCACTTCTGAAACCCTAGATCTATTCCCTCGCAGTATAGTCGTCGTTGGAAGAATGTTATTTGTTTTGATTGATCATGTTAAAAATTTCTAGACTATTCCAAAAAATGTTACATGTGGTTTTGCTATAAGTTTGATCGGGTTGAAATGATATGTTTTAAATTGTTATAATTGTGCTGAAGCTTTATTAAATTATTAAATTGAAAAATATTATAGTTGTGTTGATTTTGTTGATGGTGAATTGGAATTTTTAAAAAGTTATGCGGGGCGGGGACGGGGGATAATGTGGCGGGGAGGGGCGGGGACAGGGGAGGGAGTTGAAATTTAAACGGGTATGGGGGCGGGGATGGGGGTAAAAAATTTGACTGGGGATGGGGATGGGGATGGGGAATGAGATCCCCGCCCCACCCCACCCCACCCCACCCCATTGCCATCCCTAACCAAACACATGAACGAGATTGAGCGTTCCATTTTTACATATTCCATATTTGCAAACCAAACGATAGAATGAGAATCATCATTCCCATTCCATTCTCTTCTTATTCCATTCTCACCTCCATTATTATTTCATTCCAATTCATTCTGCATACGAAACTAGCCCTTAGTATCTTCACCAACTCATGAACTTTGGTCGAATTGTGGAATTCTCCAGCTCTATCGTGACATTAACAGTTTTCCCATTCTAAAGTGTTTTCGTTTGTAAGTTCTCTTAACACAGGACTCCATTTTTAAAAAAAAAAAAAAAACTTGTGCTTTGTAGTCTTGTTGGACCTCCCATTGACGAGGCTTCAGGTTGGTTGGTTCCTAGGAAAGCATGGATACTTCACGCGTTGGATACTGCATGATACAACTAGAAGTATCAGGAAATTTAATTATATTATTTTCTATTTGGACACGACAATAAAAAATACAAGAGATAAGGATTAAATAAAATTCGTTTAATATTCAATTATATAAGTAAAAATAGTTGCAACTCACAAACAAAATTTATAATTTTATGAAAACAAAAATTAATAAAACTAAAAAATAATTTAAGTAAAAGAATTACAGAATTTGATTTAGAAAAATCCAATTCAATGATTCTACAAATTCTTTTAGTGTAGAATCTTCAGATGGATTGAGACTATAAATTGTAATGAGTATTGAGGATTGAGGATTGAGGATTGAGTATTGAGTATTGAGTAGGGCTGCATGTTGGGCTGGCCCAACCCAGCCTAGTCCCAACCCAACCTCAACCCAACTCAGGTTGGGTTGGGTTAGCCTGAATTGTACTCAACATGGATTATGGTCAAAACTCAGCCCGAATATTTTCGGGCCGGTCGGATCAGGGTGATGGGTTGAGTTTTTTTTTTTAAATAATTTTATTTTTTCAGAAATATATATATATATATATATATATATATGATATATTATATATTATATATATATATTATAGATATTTGATTATATTATTATTAAAGAACAAAAAAATTCTAGGGCAAATCATTTTAGCCAAATTGCCTCCAAATTCTTCTCTCTCTCTTTCTCTTTCTCTGCAACCTACAAAATCTACAAGAATCAGAAGTTCAAAACCCATATATTTCAAATTTGTCTGCAAGAATCAAAAGTTCAAAACCCAAGAATCGAAAGTTCAAAACCCATATCGGCATATCACTTCAGATTGTTCAAAAAATTAGATTTTTGTTTGCAAGTGAAGCATGAGATCGGGTTCATGTATGACGGTGAAAGGGATGGGTGGAATGGCAAAGTACAAAGGGACGCAGATGAGAGAGCAACAACTGACGGAGATGATAGAGAAGAAGGTGATGGAGGCTAAAGAGGTTTGCGGTGGTGAACCAACCTTTGACGAGTGTAAGGGAGGGCGAGGGATGATGGCGGTGGTGGATCAGCGGCTGAGGGCGAGGGACAATGGCGGTGGATCAATGGCGGCGATGGCGATGGATCAGCGGCGGCGGTGGCGAGGATGGCGGCTGAGAGAGAAAGAGAAAGAGAAAGAATAGAGAGAGAGAGAGAGAGAGAAAAGGGAGAGGAAAGAGAAAGGAAAAAAAAAAATTTAATTTTGGGTTTCGGGTTGTGTTCGGGTTGAGCCCGAGTCCAACCTGAACATATTTAGGTTTTGACAAAACCCAACTCGAACATAAACCCGATTTGTGAATTGTATGTCCAAATTTCAAAAACTCTAGGTTGGGGTTGGGCTGGGCTGGGCTAGCCCGCCTAAGTTGCAGCCCTAGTATTGAGTGGAGAATATGAGAGTTGCAAACTTGTAACGAGAGATGAGGGAGCCAACTTGTTCAGAGAAGAGTGTATGAAAAATTTTGCCACTTTCTCAAACAACGGTTAAATATAGTTTTATTATTCTTATTATCATTATTGTTGTTGCTGAAAAAAAAAATGTTGGTGTAAAATAATTACTGCTCAAGTTCCACAATATGTGTATCTTAGTTTATGCTATTAAGTATAAATATAAAAGAATTAATGCTTAAGTTCCACAATATGTGTACCTTAGTTTATGTTAGGTAGGAACATGAAATTAAACTTGACTGCCATTAAAGAGAATTATAAGTTGGAACACTAAAATGACCTTAATTAATTACCATTTTTATATCCAAACCTTATCAAAGAGGATGATCGCAGGTGGTTCTAATTTAGAAAAGCTCACCTTGTCGGTTCAAATTATATTGTGCTTTGGCATATGCTTTTATTATTATTATTATTATTATTATTATTTTCCCGATAAACAAACAACTGAAGAAAAACAACATTAAAGAAAGGATAAACTCCTATAACTAGCCATGTTGCGATCCACAAGAAGGAGAATACCCATGGGAAAGGAAGCAATAGAGAGTCCTGCATGATATGACTCCGAGATAATTTTCCAATTGTGTTAGCAACCTCGTTGTCATGGCTAACTACAAGGCTAATTCGAACCGAGGAAAAATCTCGAAGCGATTGAATAATATCAAATTTGATGGCTTCCATAGCTACAGGACTTGAATCTGGAATCATCATTGCCTTAAAAACCGCCAATGAATCACTTTCATACCAACAGGTTGATATATTTAAGTGATAAGCCCAAATGATAGCCTTCCTAAAACATTCAGCTTCAGCTGAAGTAACATTAAGAGAATGAAAAGGGGAAAAAGCAATCATATGAAGGCGTTGGAAAGGAGAATATTTGGCTGAGAATTATTGCTGATCTCTAGGGATTGCCAAGCTGTATATATAGGCCTAGTCAACTTTGTAAATAAGGAAAATTAGTTATATAGTTATTATGTTCCTTTTTTAATGCCTTGTATAGCCTATAAGTAGTGTACGTGTATATCATTCTCAGTATCAATGAAATACCATTTCACTAAAATAGTTCTCTCCTAATTCCTTGTTGTTTAGATGGTATCAGAGAAGGAACTTTATTTTTTACTCTTTTCTGCATTCCGAAAAAAATTACCAGGACTTATTCCTTGGTAAACTCCACATTTTTTTTTTCTCTTTCCTCTCAAATTGAAACCCTAGCTTCTCACGATGTTTGAAGTCTCATCTGAAGTCTTTTCTAAGCCTGCTGAAAACCATGGTCCCAATTCTGATTCACACTCTGTTCAAATAACCACTATACGTCTTAATGGAGATAATTTTCTGCGCTGGTCTCAATCAGTGCGTATGTATATTCGAGGGAGAAGAAAGATTGGGTACCTGACTGGTGATACAAAGGCACCTGATTTGAAGGATACGACTTATGCCACTTGGGATGCAGAAAATTCTATGGTTATGACTTGGCTTGTTAATTCTATGGATGAAGACATCGCCTCTAACTATATGTGCTATCCAACTGCCAAGGGCTAATATTCACCAGATGTATTCTGACCTCGACAATCAATCCCAAGTGTACAAACTATAACTATAGCTTGAAGAAATTCGACAAGGGAAAGACAACGTCACCAAATACTTTAATATGTTGAAAAGGCTGCGGTAAGATTTAGATATTTTCAATGACTATGAATGGAAATCTCCAGATGATTGCAATCACCACAAGAAGACAGTGGTAAACAATCGCATCTACAAATTTCTTACTGGCCTGAACGTAGAATTTGATGAAGTAAGGGGAAGGATCATTGGTCGTGGTCCTCTTCCTTCACTTGGAGAAGTATTTGCTGAAGTTTGGAGGGAGGAAAGCTGTCGTAGTGTTATGCTTGGAAAAAGGGGGCTAGGGCATGGATTAAAAATTCTACCCTAGTCGTTGTTAATGCAAATGCGAGCAGAACTTCCAATAGCCAGCGCAGAGCTGAGGATAAGCCTCGGATATGGTGTGATTTCTGCAACAAACCCCGCCATACACGTGAGACATGCTGGAAGATTCATGGCAAACTTGCCAACTGGAAGAGCAACAAGCCTGGAGACCAATATGTTCATGCAAATGAGGTTGATGTTGGTCCCTTCAGTAAAGAGCAGATGGATCATCTTATGAAGCTGCTAAAATCCAATCCAGAGTCTGGTATTCCTTATGTTTCTCTGGCTCAAACAGTTAGCAACTTTAGTGCTTTCTCTTATCATTTTAGTCTTACACTTTGGATCATTAATTTGGGTGCTTCTGATCACATAACAAATCTCTCTCATGTATTTCATTCTTATTCGCCTTGTTCTGGTAATAAAAAAGTTAGAATTGCATATGGAAAATTTTCATCTATTGTAAGAAAAGGCTCTATCAAAATTTCTGAAAAAATCACCCTAAAATTAGTCCTTCATGTCCCTAATCTTGTCGATAATCTTTTATCTATGAGTCAACTCTCTAAAGATTCGAATTGTCATGTTACCTTTTTTGATTCTCACTGTGATTTTCAAAACCTGAGCACGGGGATGGTGATTGGTAGTGCTAGAATGGTGGACGGTCTTTATTATTTTGATGACAACTTCCTCCTTAATAAACAAGCTCAAGGCTTTGGTACTAGTATTAGTTCTCTTTCTGTCCGTGAATAAATAATGATTTGGCATCTTAGACTAGGACATCCTAGTTTTTCTTATTTGAAGTATCTATTTCCTGTTCTATTTAAAGATGTGGATTGTTTATCTTTTCAATGTGAAAGTTGTCATTTATCAAAGCGCCATCCTACTACATACATTTCAAAACCATATTGTGCCTCAAAACCATTTTACTTAATTCATAGTGACGTTTGGGGTCCTTCGAAAATTACCACATCTTCTGGAAAAAAAATGGTTTGTAACTTTCATAGATGATCACACTTGGCTATGTTAGGTATATTTGATGAATGATAAATCTGTAGTTGAAAATTTGTTCAAAAATTTTTATAATATGGTTGAAAACCAATTTCAAACAAAAATAAGAATACTTGATTCTGATAATGGAACAAAGTATTTAAATCAACTTTTGGGAATTTTTTTAAAGGAAAAGGCGAATCAGCATCAATATACTTGTAGTGATACCCCACAACAAAATGGTATTACCGAGAGAAAAAACAGTCATTTACTTGAAGTTGCACGTGCCATTATGTTCTCAATGCATGTACCAAAATATCTATGGGGAGATGCTATTTTGACAACAACTTATTTAATAAATAGAATGCCTACTCATATTTTAAAATATATTACACCTTTAGAGTGTTTCAAAAAATTCTCTCTTGAATGTTGACTTTTCTCTGACTTACCTTTGAAATTTTTTGGGTGCACTGTGTTTGTTCACATACCTAGTAGGCTTCGATCCAAACTTGATCCTAGGGGAGAAAAATGTGTGTTTATTGGTTATGTGCCAAATAAAAGGGGATACAAGTGTTATAATCCTAAAACAAAAAACACTTTTGTGAGTATAGATGTATCGTTTGTGGAAAGTCAACCTTACTTTAGACAAAACCGTTTTCAGGGGAAGGTAGTGAATAATGAAGCTCGATCAAGTTTGCGAAATAGCTATTCTTCTACCTAATACCTTGGCTGTTCCTATGCCTAATACCTTATTTCTTGTACTTGATCTTAATCCTTCCACCTTTAATAATCAAGACTCAGTGCTCTGTGTTTACACTAGAATGAGTACTCATAAAAAAAATAAAGACTTACCTACAAATCTAGCACAAGACCAACCACTGTCTCCGAGCGATGGTCCATCTACTACTCCAGGTAACTCTAATCCTTCCTGAATGGTTCTCTGGATAAACAGGTGGGAGATTTTTGAGGTAAAAACCTTATAAGACTTAGAAAGCCTATGGTAAGAAAATGGTAGGATGCAAATGAGTGTTTATAGTTAAGTGTAGAGTTAATAGAAGTATAGAAAGGTATAAGGCATGTTTAGTGGTAAAAGGATTTACACAAACACATGATATTGATTACCAGGAGACTTTTTCTCTAGTAGCAAATATTAATCAATCCGTGTCTTACTAACCTTAGCAGTTAGTCTTGACTGGCCATTACACCAGCTAGAAGTAAAAAACACATTCTTAAATGAGGATTTGGAAGAGGAATTCTTTATGAGCCTACCACCGGTGTTTGAAGAACGTCTTGGTGAAGGGAGAGTGTGTAGACTAAGAAAATCCCTGTATGGCCTTAAACAATCTCCCGGAGCATGGTTTGAGTGATTTGAGAAAGCTATAAAGGGCCACGGATATACAAAAAGTCAGGCAGATCACACTATGTTCTATAAAAAGGAAGAAAAATTGCTATTTTGATTGTTTATGTTGATGATATAATAGTAACAGGTGATGACAAAAGATTCAAGAGAGTTCTTGCTAATGACTTTGAGATCAAGGACTTGGGAGCCTTAAAGTATTTTCTTGGAATGGAGTGTGCCAGGTCTAAAAAGGGCATCTTCGTGTCTCAACAAAAATATGTGTTGGATCTTCTTAGAGAGATAGGCCTACTTGATTGCAAGGCAGCAGAGAGACCAATTGAACCTAATTTGAAGCTCTAATTTGCTAAACCTAAAGATGTGAAGAACAAAGAATAATTTCAGAGGCTGGTTGGTAGACTGATTTATTGTCGCATACTCGCCCAGATATAGCTTTTGTAGTGAGCATGGTAAGTCAATTTATGCACTCACCAGGTCCAGAACACTTCGAGGCTGTGTACAGAATCCTAAAGTACTTAAAGGGATCACCAGGAAAGGGCCAGCTATTTGAAAAGCACGGTCATCTACAAATTGAAGTATATACAGATGCAGACTGGGATGGGTGCATAACCGATAGAAGGTTAACCTCTGGCTACTATACTTTTGTTAGAGGAAACCTTGTTATTTGGTGTAGTAAAATACAAAATGTGGTTGCAAGAAGTAGTGTTGAAGTCGAATTTAGATCAATTGCCCACGGAATTTGTGAGGTGTTATGGGTTAGGAGACTCTTAGATGAACTGAAGGTCTTAAGTCCCTTTCCGATAAAGGCATACTGTGATAACAAAGCAGCAATTTCGATAGCACATAATCCTGTTCTTCATGACAGAACAAAGCATGTTGAGGTAGACAAGCACTTCATCAAGTAGAAAATAGAGAACGAATAGATTTGTATGACCTATATACCAACTGATGAACAGATTGCGGATGTTCTTACAAAGAGTCTGTCCAAGAAACAATTTGAGAAATTGATGAGAAACTTGGCTATGGAAGATATCATCAAACCAGCTTGAAGAGGAATGTTGGAAAGGAGAATATTCGGCTAAGATTTATTGTTGATCTCTAGGGATTGCCTAGGTGTATTTTATGTTTAACTATAGGCCTAGTAAACTTAGTAAATAAGGAAAATTAGTTGTATAGCTATTATGTCCCTTTTTTAATGCC